GATGTCACTCGTGAGTCGACACGCAAGCCCTGCCATAACGCGGAGGCTAGAGGTTTCACTTACAGTGTTCCGCGGTGAAACAGTTGCAGACCCGTCTTGAGCGATACATCCGTGTACCGAAACTATTTATGTGAACTTGCAAGTGAGAGCTCGTAATATTGAAGGAATAGTTACCTCTGCAAAACTGATAGATCTATCCAGATGTCTCGTACTGATACGAAAACATCACTTCTTGCGGAAGCTCCCGGCAAGCTTTCTTCCGCAATGCAATACGAAGGAGAAGCGACACTCTACCATTTGGCTCTACCACTGAAGTACTCAGATCACAACAACCGTTTGGTGATTGGTTTTTGTGAGTCATAAAATGTCGTCGAACTTGCTAATCATCGATGGAGTTGTACTCCTCCCTGTAAAATGCTGCTACTGGCAGTTTGTTTTGCCATCAAGCGATCGATCCTCCGAAAGGGTGTTTCAAAACGTCGTGGACAACTTGAAGACCCTGGAATTTCTAAACTACGTAGTTTGTGACAAGTTGCGGAGCGAGCGACGCGAGCGGAGTATACACCGCAACAACAGGCACTTTCGCGTTGTGCGTGCGTGCAGAACTATTCTGGCTTAACTATGAAGCGTGGGATACTATCACATAGATCAAACGACTCCTCTATATGAGCAGGTGTTTGGAAAAATCGGAAAACTCGATTATGCGAACAGCTCGAAGAGATATGCACGAAAAACTTTAATGATGGAGAAATGTCCTACCCAGGAATCGAACCGGGGAGCTATGTAAAATTCATTGATTGAGTCCATGGACGTGGACTCAGTAAGCTCCGCCCCTTTGTCACGAAGGCCTAGTTCTCAAACCTTTGAGAGCCGTTCCATAATGATCTCAGATGTCGAAAACCTGTGAACATTGTGCTTTGGAGAAGGAAAAGAATTGAGTGGTACACATGGTCTTCAACGTGCTGTTAATTGTGGGCCCCCACTCACATTGATGGTGGACATGAAAAACTTTCAAGAAGTACTACTATTACTACAAGAAGATGCTGAGAGGCGGCAGTTACTACTATTATAACTCAATACGCCGACGATAATGGTAATAGCCTTATTCCTTTAGCATCACAAGCCGTAGTAGTCCTCATTACATCATCAACAATAACAACTGCTAATCATTGATGTTATAACTCCTTGTTGATGTTGTTGTTACCAGACGTCTACCATTGATCAGCACTGGCAGCAGCCCAATCACCACCAGTAGCTCCAGTCCATTCCTCACCCTCCTCGAAGTAAGCAGCATTAGCAGCAGTACCCTCAACACCAGTAGTAGCAGTAGCAGCAGCCATACCAGTAGCCTCGACCATAGTGTTCTTAGAAGCCTCATAGGCAGCAGCCTCAGCAGCCATACGCTCTTGACGTTCGATCTCTTCAGGATCTCTCCAGAAGAAGGAATCAACCATAACTTCCCATTCAACACCACGAGGGATCTTACCACGTAGCATCAATACCTCACGAGCAAGTAGATAATAAAGAAGAGCAATACTCTCTTTACCCTTATTATTGCATGGTATGGCAATATCTACGAAATCAAGAGGGGAATCGGTATCACATAAAGCAATAACAGGTATGTTAGCATAGGCAGCCTCCTTGATAGCTTGAGAATCGGTACGAGGATCAGTAACAATCAATAGACGAGGCTCAGTGAACTTAGGAGTTATCTGATTAGTAAGGGAACCAGGAGTCCAACGTCCAGCAACAGCAGTAGCACCAATAAAGTTAGCAAGCTTAAGAACAGCACGAGAACCATAAGGACGCTGTGATACAACCATAATATCTTTAGGGTTCTCAATGGTAACCATAACACGGGCAGCAGCCATAAGCTTCTCCCAAGTCTTACCTAAAATATAATAACAAAACTACTGGATGATGAGGATGATGATGATATTACCCAAGTTAATGATATTGATACCATCCTTATTACGCTTGAACACGTAACGCTTCATACGATAATCCAAGTTACGAGTACCAAGATGGGTCTAATAGCAATGAGAGAATGATGATGATTAACTACGATTTTATTATTATTATTACACTGCAGACCAACATCTTCTGGATATCTTCCTCCTTCTGAGTAGTAGGATCATAGACAGCAGCAGCAACGGGATCAGCCATGTTGTTGTTGTTGATTGGCTTCTTGTTGATAATAAGAAACAACGGCTAATATGATAATAATAATACCCCATTGTGGTCCTAGGTATCCCGCCTACCCCCGCGCGGGCGCCCTGGACCCTACCATTAATCGATCAAGTGATCGATTAAGCTAGAATACCTTCATCCAAGATAGCAAGATCTCAAGAAGTTATACCATCTACTACTACTACTACTACTACTACTACTACTACTACTACTACTACTAAGATGATGGATGTCATAATATGATGATGATGATGATCGGGATGGTATTACTTGGTGTTCTACTATTCTCATTCTTCTCTTTGTTGTTCGATATACTTACTGTTCCACCCTGTCGGCTATTATTCGTATACCCTAAATGTTGTTAATGTCATTATTATTGCCTATAATCTGGTAATAAGGATTCGTTATTATTATCAACATGTTTGACGCCGACGACGACGACACAACATCATAATCCCTACTAACTTGAATAATACCAACTCAACAGTAATCAGTAATACTAATCGATACCATCATCAATAACATTATTATTACTACTACTAATCCCCAAATAATAATAACACGATGCGTTTACATTACCAATAGAGGCAGCAGCAAAGTGTTGTTGAACTACCAATCGTGGATAGCATCAATGATGATTATGATCATTCAAAAGAGCGCACCACCTCCACAAACCGCATATCTAATCTCAAAAACACTACTTGCTATTACTTATGCTCATCGTCATAATAGTAAATAACATGTTATCGTATTTAGTAACAACTAGGTAACTGTTACTACTACTGTTTGCTACTGTCCCTCGACATACATTAGTATGATGAGTAGTGAAGAATACGTGTATCATGAGTATAATCATTGTTCGCATTGTTGACCACCATAACACAATAGCTCTTCAAGCATCATCTTATTCGGAATAAAGCAGCACGCCCGCGATTAGGATAACCAGGATGGCCTGATGAAGATTATGATAATAAAGGCAGCAAAGGGTTCAAGGAGGAGGAGGATAGTATACTTACTAAGAACTCTAGAAAACCCATACCAATAAGGGTATAAGTGAAGAGATCCTCCTTCATACTAGGATTCCTCGCAATACCAACAACCAAAGCAGCGAACAACTGACCAATACCTTGAGCACAACCACCAACAGCAACAACAGCAATAGCTGCACCGAGAACTGAAGTACCTAATAATAATAATAAGGAAAATATTAAATAGTTAGCATCATTGGGAATAACAACAACAACGATGATGATAATCTTACCGGCACATCTTATTTGTTGAGAGTTATTGATACCAGTCAGAGAGCTTGATACACCACAAGGTTGGCAACATGGGGACAACAAGTTGTTGTTAGAGTTCATGTTACGGTATGATGATACACCTGATTTAACAACAAGATTGGGGGGGACTGGAAAAGTACTAATGACTTACTCTTAGGGATCATCATAGGCTCCTTCCTCTGCATACTAGTAGTATTAGCAGCAGCAGCAGCAGTAGTGGTGGTATAACAAGCTGATGATGATGATAATGAACTTGGTGGTCTTGCCACCAAATTAGAGAAGCGATTTAAGACAGCAGCATGAGCATAGGTATATGATCCATTGAATATACGGCCCATAGCACTAGTAGGAGCACTCGGCTTCATCATCATCATCAAACTAAAACAATGATACTCCTATTCATTACAACAACAACAACATAGCTTAAGCGAGCAGTATAATCGTATGTCGTTCATACACAGGTATAACAATACTGCTACAACCTACCTGTTCATCTGGATGCTTAGTATGAGTTGAAGAACGAGTGGTAGGAGGAGGAGGAGGAGAAGGGTAGAAAAATGGGTTAATAACTGCCGTACTGCAACAATAAGATGATCTAACAACTAAGTAGGTAATCGTGATAATGATGATGATGCATGAAATTTGCAAGTAATATTATATCACCTAAATGCATGTAAGATATTGTCGTGCTGACAAGTCTGATGATGATGATCGCAACGATTTTAACAACAATTGAATCGAGTATCGTCATCGTCATTATAATTATTAACATAAGCAAGTAATGAAGGTAATAATGTATCGTATTATGATGCAGTGTTTATTAATATATATTACTACTACTCAGATACTCTCGTTACAACAACATCATCATCATCATATTGGGATAGGAACAAATACAATAGGACCAGTAAGTAGAGGAGGATACTTAGTACTTATGATATTATCATCATTAATATTGATATTATTGGTATATTGGTATGGTATTATATTAGAAGTTATGGTATTGTTATTATTTGGATATGGATATCATATATCATCATTGAATCGATATGATGATGATATTGTTGATAACAACACATCATCAGAATCAACGGTGAATATGGAGATTGGCCATAATAATAATACTGAACCACAGGGAGGAACTACTACTAATAGTGTTGTTCTACTATTACTTCATAAAGGAATATCTAATACAATAAGCGATGATAATGATCATCATCATCATTATCATTATCATACAACCTATTATAATGATGACAACAGATTAGGGGATCTATTGGATGCTGCTACTACTACTACTACTACTACTACTATTCAACATGATCATCATAATGATAATGAACATGTTATGGTAGGATATAACAATGAATATGATATACCTAATTATGGTTACCGGCAGGGCCACCGGCGCTCGCCGGGCCGCACTACTATTACTACCAGTAGTAGCAATGATGATGATGTTATAATACCAGGTGGTAAATGTAGTAATAATGATACATTGAGTAAAATGAAAGCTATGGATGATGATTATACCAAGAAATGGCGTATATTGATTAATAAGTTGACTAGTGATAATATATCCTCAATATCTGATAATATATTAAATGATATTCGTATAGCTACTACTACTAGTAATAATAATAATGAAGTGATTGCATTATATGAGTATTATATATCTAAGGTGGTTAATTTGATATTTAATGCAGCTATTAGAACACATCATATTAGTAATAGATCACAACTCTATCTCTATATTAATCTATTACATAATATATCATCGTCATCGAGTGGGTTTATTAGTCTTGATAATAATAATAATAATAATAAATACAGTATTGTTATGAATAATGTATTGTTTGCCAAATGCAAGAGTATGTATGATGAATATGTAATAAATCATACTACTATTACTAGTAAGTATGAAGAGTTCAATAATCCCGATGATAAAGAGGATTATATTAATAGGTTTAAGATGCGTACATTGGCACTTCTACATTTCATAGGAGCATTATCGATTACTAATCTATTATCCCTTCATAATCATACAACATATGATGATGAGAATGATTATAGTTGTCATGATGGTATGAATATGATATGTAAATGGATTATTGATGATAAATTGGTATGCAATGGGGAATCAACGCCTACTACTACTAATACGAGATATAATGAATATATATGTAGTATTATGAATGGTATTATTGATTATTATACTACTACTATCATCACTAATAATAAAAGATCTAAAATAGATCCAATGATGATAATGGTTGATATAACCAATACGGAGTGTATGAAATGTATTATAGATTTATTAAAGAGTAATGTGAGTAATGATATAATAACAATAAGAGATAAATGTTTAATAAATAACGTATTGGATAAATATAATAATCTTATTATGAATATAATCAACATACCACCACCACCATCATCGTCCCTACCACATACTACTACTACTATTACTGCAACAACACAGAATAATGATGATGTTGATGCTAATGCCGAAGTTGATACTAGAAATAATCATATAATGCAATATGATAATGTAAGATATCTTACAGCAAGAGGTTGCTGATGTGCTCATCTAGAATGGGTAGTTATTGGCTATTGGCATATTATTATACTCTTTTTATAACCAAGTTATTGGTATAATCAATAGTGATCATATTTATAAATGAGTTAATCATTATCAATGATTATGAATATTATAACGAAGTTATGATGATTATCATGTTGAACATGATGATGATTATGAATATTAATGTTCCAATGTTGAAACTATGGGTGTAACAATACATTACTTGTTGTCGTTATAGTGAGCTAAGATAAGAATAACATAATCATAGTACATTCATAATATATATGATAGCATTATCGGTAGTATATATAGGGTGATTCACACAATAACAACAATATAAGTGAACAACCATTCATCAGTGAATATCATCATAATTACAGTTAAGAGTAGTAGTTATGATTATGGATGCCTCCTCATCATCATCCTCTTCCACTACCAAAGATAAAGAGATAAGCGTTGGACTGCTGGAGAATCATCATCATCATCCTGTTGTTGATAATAATAATAATGACGTGGATGATGATGATGGTGATGATGGACACCCTACTACTACTACTAAGAGTAGTAAAGAAGAACACAGTGTTGATATTACTGCCAATGATGTATTGAGTGATATACATGGATCATTAATGAAAATATTGGTAATAATAATGATAAAGAGGAGCAATAAACCATCATACATCAGCACCTATGCGGCACTATTGACAATATGATGACTACTACTAATACCACAACAACAACAAATCTAGGAGGTAGTAATAACTATGATGATGCTACTACTTAGTATTGCTTTATTATCATGGCCATTCTCATTATTGTAGTATATGTTGTATTATTCAGATTCTACTACTACTAGTGAATTGGGTGGTGGTGGTGGTGGTAAGGTTATTCGTATGGCAGGAGTATCGGATTACCTAGTTAGAATAATTAAACAATTGAATAGATTACGATCGGAAGGGGAAGTCTTACGTTTACTCAAATCAACAACAACATCATCATCACCAGAAAATAATGATACTCCTCCTACTCCTCCTACTTCATCATCATCATCACTTGTTGTACCAGAAGATGTGTTATCGGCAATATTTCGAAGTGCCGAGTCAGGGAGTTACGAACATCTCAAGTCTACTGTAATAATAATAACAACTATCATACTACTACTAATGAGTGATACTACTACTACTTTATTAGGTTAACGAACATATCACCGATTTGCGGAATTCTCGTGATAGATTCGAAGAACAACAAACGTTATTATGTGAATTCAAAAAAGAGTTGATATCGAGTTGTTGTGGTATCGAGTTTGTGGATGACAAGCAGAATGAGAAAGAGGAGGTGAAGGAGGAGGAGAAGGGGAAGTCAATCACGACACAATAGTCTTTTATATTTCTATATGTTGTGTTATTATAATGAATCTGATGATAATAGCTCTGCTATACACAAATCTACCACCGCCACCAGTATCATCATAACGACGACATTGAGAGTAATAGACATATCACCATACTAGAATGACTATCAAGGAAAAGATCATAAGTGAGAGAGTATTCGATAATAATGCTCATTGGAACAACAACTATGTACAATCTCGATTAAGCTTCATAACTTAGCGCTGAGATTATTAGGGAATAATAGGGGAGATAATGATCATGATCATTAGCCTGACATTAACCTGGTTGTATGATGATACGGGCCATTATGAGAATACTACCCTTTTGAGGGTTATTCTATATACAAGCGGCGGCATTCTACTTCTCTGAGGATTATGATGATACCTGTTCATGTTCATGTTCCATGCTGTATCGTAATGTATCGTGATGATACCTGTTCATGTTCATGTTCCATGCTGTATCGTAATGTATCGTGATGATACCTGTTCATGTTCATGTTCCATGCTGTATCGTAATGTATCGTGATGATACCTGTTCATGTTCATGTTCCATGCTGTATCGTAATGTATCGTGATGATACCTGTTCATGTTCCATGCTGTATCGTAATGTATCGTGATGATACCTGTTCATGTTCCATGCTGTATCGTAATGTATCGTGATGATACCTGTTCATGTTCATGTTCCATGCTGTATCGTAATGTATCGTGATGATACCTGTTCATGTTCATGTTCCATGCTGTATCGTAATGTATCGTGATGATACCTGTTCATCTTCCATGCTGTATCGTAATGTATCGTGATGATACCTGTTCATGTTCCATGCTGTATCGTAATGTATCGTGATGATACCTGTTCATGTTCCATGCTGTATCGTAATGTATCGTGATGATACCTGTTCATGTTCCATGCTGTATCGTAATGTATCGTGATGATACCTGTTCATGTTCCATGCTGTATCGTAATGTATCGTGATGATACCTGTTCATGTTCCATGCTGTATCGTAATGTATCGTGATGATACCTGTTCATGTTCCATGCTGTATCGTAATGTATCGTGATGATACCTGTTCATGTTCCATGCTGTATCGTAATGTATCGTGATGATACCTGTTCATGTTCCATGCTGTATCGTAATGTATCGTGATGAATATGATAATAACAACACAATACTAGTAGTTTATCAGAAACACTCACTATTGTAGTAAAGGAAAGTACCTCCTACATAGAGATATATTATTATGCGGTTGTTGTTGCTGCTGCTGCCCATACTGCTGATTTTGGTACATGCTCAGCTTCTTTCCATTCTATCACTTCATCCCTTAATCTTGCTATATTATCATTTCTATCGATGAGATATCTGATGAGAAAGTTATCATTATGATGATGATGATGATGAGGATGATGAGGACGTACTCATATTCCTCATAATTGCCTTCTGCATTAGCATTCACATCTAATGCAATATGAATACATTTCGATACCCAATTACCTACAACAGTACCATCATCATGATGATTATGATAATCCTACTAAATACTATTAATATTACTGATCCTTGATATAGTATCATCCTTATTTACTGGTGATAGGAGTCTCAATAATGTTAACCTTAATATGTCTATTTGATAATTAATATCGCCATGATATGATGACATAATATTTACATCTAATCCGATACGATCAATAACATGATCCAACATCCAATCTGAAATAGGACGACAAGACGACTACGACTACTTAGTATTATCAATGATACTACTACTCTTCAATTCTTGATGATGATCATCATTGAGCTTTTGTTGTTCGTCTTCTTCTTTTCCTCGGGATAATCGTATAACTGTTCTAAAGGTATCAGGATCATAGTAAGCATCCCATTCTTCTTCTTCTTCTCCTTTCTGTTGAGGAGATGAACCTCGTCTCTCCTCTTCAGTTTTTGCCATATCCTCCTTAAGTTTATATGCCATATATGAACCATGCTTCTTGACTAGATTTGATAGATCATATGATATATTACCATTACCCATTTCTATCTTCTTATCATATTCATACTTAATCTCATTTAACTTAGCTATATCATTTCGTATATTAATTATCTCCTCCATAATAGTAGCATCATAGTTATCATCCTTACCTGTATACAAGCATATACAACTTAAAACAGCCTTACAAGCCTCTATGACTTCTTCTTCTTGTTGTTGCTATTGATAAGATGGTGGTGTTGTTGTTGCGTCTATCATCCAACTGGGACTCTGCCTCCATAAGCTCTTTCTGTCTATAACTCCTAAAGACAACAACAACAACAATAGACGACGACGACATACTAATATTAGTGTTCTTGTTATTATTACAGCTCCCTTCCTATTCTCGTAGACTCTTGTTGTGCTTTAAATGTGAATATACCCACCACGAGAGTTATGATAAATAATACTATTACCAACTGAGCAATGACGACATGTAATAAAGTATATGAAACTGATGATGATGATAGTCAGTTGTTATTATTGTTATTACAGTGTGTGATGGTAATAATAGGAGGCCACCACCAACATTATGTGTACTAGTAGTAGTGGTAGATGATGATGATGAGGTGGAGGTGGCTGGTACTACTCTTCTATCCTCTTCTATGCTATTATTGCTAGTAGTAGTAGTAGTTGGTACTACTGCAGACTTTTTAACCATTCTTTAACCAAAAAAAGAGTAGAAATAAAATCTAACAACAACAATAGCTGATAATAATAGTAATAATAACAAGAACAAGAACAACAAGTTGTAGAAGAAGGAGAAGGCCAATAATCCACCAGCAGGAGTTGTAAGCAGCAGCAGCAGCAGCAGCCATATACAACAACATCCATTAACGTTCTAGTAGTAGTAATAATAATAATAATGCTAGTATAGAAGTCATTAGTAGTAGTAGTGTATATTGTCAATACATTGGTACTACCCCATGTGATACCATACTACTTCCATCAGGAGTGGTATTATCCATTTGTGATAATAATGCGGTATTAACTGCTGAGGCTAGATATCCAACTTCTAATGTAGTATCAGCAATACGATATTTATGCATAGCTGCTATTGCTACTCTAGCATCACATGCTCTAGAGTATCTAATACAGAGATGATATAGAGATGGTGTGGTATTATTATTAATATTACATAACAAAGGCAAATCCTCTAGGTCTACCAGTATATGGTGATTTAGCTATCTCAATACATTGTATATCACCAAATGGAGCGAATAATTTACGTATTTCTGATTCTTGTAAATGTATAAGTACTCCTGTAAGACCTCCAACATATCTAAAACTAATGATGTTAATATGAATAGTAGTTTATTGTTATTATTACACTCTCATAGGTAGATCTTGTTGTTGATTCTGTACTACTCTAGCTGCTTCGGCTGCACGATTCTTTTCAGCTTGAGAGGCTTGAACTAATAATAATAAATAATGATCATGATGAATAATACCTCATTGTTGTTATTATTACTGCGTATAGGATGTCCCATTAATGCTTGTCCATTACAAGCTAATGCTTTTAATATTGAATCAGGTGTATAGAATTCAACATATGCTACACCTTTAGATCTATTAGTACCTAATCATATTCACCATAATTATCATCATACTACTACTTATTACGTGGATCTCTTATAACTTGTACATCCCGTACTTTACCAGCATTCTGGCTCATAAATACATATACCTCTTTTTCAGTACATTTAGGGTGTATACCCATAACCATAACAGTACAATCATCTCTATGAGCTTGTTGGACCATACGTACTCTCTCATCACCAATACCACCACGATGCTGACCACCACCACCACCACTACGATGTTCTTCTTCTTCTTCTTGGCCACCACCACCACCACCATGATGATGATGATGTTGATCTTCACGTCGATAGGATCTAATATTATTGATGATCGTAATAATATTAATACTATACATGCTATGATATACCTAGATCTATGATGATAATCTCTATTAGAACCTCTGCGATCCTCCTCTCTTGTTGATGATGATGGTCCTCTTCTTCTTGAATCTAAGATTAAAATTGATATGTCGGCAGTAGGTACTGCAGTAGTAGTATGATGACGATTACCACTACGATGATGATAATGTTGTCTTTCACCTTCCACCTGTTCTAGAGGCATTCTTCTTCTACTATTAGGTGATGTATTATTATAATTACCATCATAACGTTGTGTTGATGACCGACGAGGAATAGTAGGAACCCTACTAGTGTTATCATGTATAATGATAGTAATATTATTACTCATTATTATGATAATATCCATCATCAACCCTCCCCTGTTGTTGCTCCATAAGCTGCTCTACTTGCTCAAAGTCGAGATCATCCATTACTCACTAGTAATCAATAGTCAACAGTGAATCATGATCATCATCATAGTAGATATTAACGTATTATCGATTACAATGGCGAGCGCTATACGTCTACGCATGTTGCCACCACCACCACCACAACGACATTTTCCTCTTCTTCGTTGATATTATGTTGTTAGATGGTGATGATGATGATGATGTTATAATAAAACTATTGTTTGGTAAGAGTAATGAAGGGGCGATATCATCATCTAAAGGAAGGATGCGTCAATTAAGGGATATGCTTATTAGAGATAAGGGTTGGATTGTTAAGGATGATAATACTAATATTATTACGTAATATTAGTATTATTATTGATAATACTAATATTACTAGGTATGATTATACATTAAAAGGTTCTAATTTGGTGATAATAATAGATCCACAACATGAGTTCGATATTAATGAGATATATGCTATTGAAAGGTAAATAGTAATACTAGCAGTCATTGATAGTAGTATTATATAATAGGTATATCGATATTGATGGTGGTGCGGTATTGATATTATGTAATGAGGGTGGTTTAGTATCATCTAATGATAATATTAATAATATATTACAAGTATATGGTATAAGTATAAATAACGATTCATTAATAAGATCAGCACATCATCCTAATTATCATCATCCTAAAGAGGTATTAATATATACATGTATATATCAATATTAAAACACATGTAGTAGGTTCTTATATCTTTACTACCAACTTCTAGTACTCCATCATTATCACCAACAACAACAGAAGAAGAAGAAGAGAATTTTAATATAGTTTACCCGTATGGTTGTACACTAGCAGTATCAGGATGTAATATGGTCAGTAGCAACAGTATGAGCAGCATGAGCAGCAGCAGCAGGGCTAATAAAAAGGTCATCACCATCATCATACTACTACTACTACTACTACTATACAAGGTATCCGAGAGATTATTTATTATTACTGCTATTAGGTATCTACTAGAGTGTTATTCAGCTCTGGTTTATTATCATATCCTATTGATAAGTAGTACTATTAGATAGTCATTCTTCTTGTTGTTGTAGCCATAAAGGGTTGTATTATTAGACCCTTATGTGTACTAACAACAACAACGACTACGACTACTGCTGATACCTCTTCTAATGGTATTATATGTGTATTGGGGAGTTGTATGATATTTAATGATGATTACATTTCTAAAGAGGATAACCGCTTATTAGCAGTAATACTCTTATGCTCTTCTCCGTTATTATCATCATCATCATGTTCTTGTTCTTATTGTTATTTTAGGTCAACATGATTAGATATCTTGCAGTAGGGCATAAGGAGGAGGAGACCAATGATGTTAGAGTAATAAGATATTACTACAAATATATTAATAATCTAACTCAGAGTAGCATCTTCCCCAACCAGCAACATCATCATCATAATCGTTCTAATCAAGATAGGAAGATTATTACACCACGAGTAAAGGGAGAGTCAATGTATGTTACTACTACTACTACTACTACCATCTCTTATTATCATTACTTGTATTATCATTATTATTAATATTATCAGGAAACCTATTGATGAGAACAATAGTAGGGTATTAAATAATGATATGGTAAAGTCATCGATGATTAGTACTATACCCAATACCAGGATACTATCTGATAGTATTAAATCATGTTTACATAATGGTGGTAGTAGTAATAGTATGTTGTTGGGTAGTGCTGCTGGTGGTGGTGCTAGTGGTGGTATATATAGTACATATCGTCATCATCATCAAGCTTCTATACTAAACATCACTCAAGTACCTAATTTATCTAATACCATACTGGTAGTAATAGTAGTAGTAGGTAATATAGTTATTACTATTATTATCAGGATAAACTCCCTATTGTATTAGAGGTATATGGTAAAGTAATGACATCTGATGGTAGTCATAAAGGTAGTCAATACAATAAGGATAACAACTGGATGCAGCAACATGGGAGCAGCAGCAGCAATAGTAGATAATGATGATGATAATTATTGTTATCATACTCATGTATACTATCTATTAGGTCATCATAATCATAACTCAATATTACTACCACCACCACCACCACATAAACGATATTTAACATTAATACCACCCCAGTTTAACATCAATAGTGATGGGTATCATCATCTTCGTCCTCGTCGTGGTCGTGGTCGTTGTTGTGGTCGTGGTGGTGGTAGTGGTGCTGCATTGATACCACCACTTATATCGTATACTCCATCATCATATTATGATACTACTACTGGAGGGGGGCAACTTGATAATAATAATCATTCACAACCGCTACAACCATTACTTGAGATGTAATAATATACTGATTATGATGGTATTATTATAATGATTATGATATAGGTATGATCTAGACGATGAGTTGGCGACATATCATCACAGAATAACCAAATTGGCTATTAAATGTAAAGATAATAATAAAGAATATCATACAAATACGACAACAACAACAACAACAACGATGATGCTAACGACAATCATGTACTTTATACAGCAAGCATCAGCAATAGCATCAACAGACTATTCAAAAACAACATCATCATCTTCAAATAAAGAGCACACTCATCATCATGATACTGCTGCTGTTGCTGCTGCTGTTGCTGTTACTACTGCTATATCATCATCAAGTCATCTACAAGTAGAAGAAGGGTATAGTCAGAGTAGCTACAAGGTTGATAATACTACTACTAATAGTAATTCAGTGAAATGTAAACACACATTATACGATATGTATAAGTATATAGTTATGTGTAAAAGCTAACATTAGCTGCTTAATAGCATGATGATGATTATGATGATGATCATGTTAATCATGTGACTCTGATTCTATAAGGTATTGCCGATATTCTCGTTATAGTCATTCACACAGCATCATCATCATTGCTTCTGCTTCTGCTGCTGCTGCTGCTGCTGCTGCTGTTCGAGATGATAATGGTGATATTATTATCTTATGAATGAAATTAGGATATTATTCTATTGCATCATCACTTATGCATCATAATATCACCAATTCAACAGCATTCTTCCCAACTCTAGATAAAGATGCTGGAGCATTCGAATTCGAGCAGAGGTAGTAGTAGTAGTACAAAAACATTACTATTAGTTGTATTATAAGATGATCCTTGAGTATATCCCCTGTTATTATTACAGATATC